AGAGCTGGGGCAGACCTCAGGCCACACAGGCCACACAGCGAGGGGCCGGGCCTCACCGGTGACAGACGGGAAGTAGATGCCGACCAGCATGGTGAAGTAGGTCGTGATGTCGGTGAGGACGTAGGGCAGCCCGCCGGCTCGGGCCTCCTCCGGCACGGGCACTGAGGGTGTGCCTTTCTTGTCCACAAACTCCCCCTTGTCTGCATACGCGCTCCACAGGTTGTCTGTGGGGAAAAGGCCGGGCAGCGGGCCTCTGGAACCTTCCATCGGGGCCAGCAGATGCACCTGGCACGGCCCCACGGGCTCCAACTTTGGATGAAGACCTCTGAGCACTGCACCTAACCTCCGAGTGACAGCTTCCCACCCTAACGTCAAAGCTGACGGCACCCCGCTCAGGACAGACACGCCCTGACAAGCGCCTGAGGGCTCTGGGGGCAGGTCTCAGGGCAGGGGGTTGGTCAGTGACCCCTTCCCACGACCCCCCTGAGGGAAGACCTGACCCCATCCCCGCTCTCAGTGGCAGTGGTACCTGGCCCGCCTGCCACCTGAGCGAACGCCCCGGGCAGGTCCCAGCCTGGCCCGGCTGCAGCCCACGGCCCCCTCCCCACAGATACCTATGGAGACCCCCGAGGGGAGTGGGCACACCCCACTCCCTTCCCCAGGCCGGCTCCCTCAAGCAGGGCGCCCTGTCTCCACCTCCAGCTCCCCGTGTGGCCTGTGACCAGTGCCCCCCCAGGTCCCAGCCCCGCCCAAGGCCGCCCCACGCACCCAGGAGGACGCCGCTGGCCACGCCCGGGATGCCCTGCGTCTCTGTGAGGTTGTTCTGGGCGAAGTACGCGTCGCAGGTGGCGCTGGGCTCCGAGCCATTGCAGAAGAGGCCCCAGAGCGCCGTGGTGAGCGTGCCGTTGGCCGAGCTGTGGGTCTTGGCACAGATGTCGAAGCCGCGTCGGGACAGCGTGCGGTTCCCCAGCAGACACACCCTGGGGTGGGGGTGCGTGATGAGCCGCGTGGCTCTCCAGGGCCGCGGCGAGGGCCAGGGGCCAGTCGCGCTGCCGCCCTGGCCGGGCGCCCGAGTGGACACAGGATGGATGCTGCTCCCGCCGAGCAGCTCCCTCCACGCGGAGCACCAGCCACCCCCAGCTTCCTCCCAGTCAGCCCGCTGACAGCTGGCCTGACGCCTGAACGCTGGCCACTCGCTCCGTGACCCACGGCCACTTCCTTGTGACTTGGCGTCCTCGTCCAAAAGGGACAAGGAAAGAACCCCTCGGGGGCTCTCGTGAGGACCGGGGGAGGAGGCCACCGTCCCCAGGGCCGCGAGCCACCCCGTACACCCAGACCTTCACCAACCCTCCGGCCGTGTCCTTGCAGACGGCCGGCCATAGAGCAGGGGACAACTCACCCGTAATGCCGTGAGAGAAGGTGCAGCCACCAGCCCAGGTGCCACCCCCAAGGCTGCGGGCGAAGCCTGACTCGCAGGCCGGGACCGCTGTGCCCGCACGGACCCAGCGCTGGGTGGAGGGACAGAGGACAAGGGACTCGTGACGCCAGCCCCGGACTCACGGGATGTCGGGCGGGTCGAAGGCCGTCTTGATGACGCCGGCGTAGATGGCGAGGATGGACAGCACCACGCACGTCAGGAAGACCAGGGCCAGCTTGTTGACGTACTTGACGCCCACGAAGACCACCATGGCCATGAGGACCAGCATGCCCGTGCCGTACACACGCATGTTGTGCAGCATGGCCGCCGCCTCGCTGCCCGCCGAGCCCGTGTGCACGATGGCCGCGCCCGGGGAGATGTAGGTCTGCGGGGACGAGGCAGGTCGGGAAGGGCGCCTGCCCCTGCCTGGCAGATGACCACTCCGGGGGAGGCCAGCGCCAGACGCAGCTCCCTCCCGGGGCCCCACCCCGGTGCTCCCACGACAGACCCTCGGGAGTGTGAACAGCGAGGGACGGGCCGACTCTGAGCCGGGGCTGAGGGCCCTTCAGGGAGAGGCCGCGTCGGGACGCAAAGAGCCCAGAGGAAATCGAAGAGCAAGCGACGTCTCCCTGCCAGCGGGTGCAATGCCAGCCCGGGGAGCCCGGCGCCGGCCCAGCTCAGCCCTCCTGGGACACACTGGGCCGGCACCGGGCGCGGACACCGGACGGATGCCCAGCACGTCTGCTGGGGGTGGACCACGGGACCGAGTGAGCTGTCACTCAGCTCCGAGAAGCGGCGGCGCCAGGTACAGGGGCCTGACGGAGGGGGGTCGGGAGCACGTCACCCCGTCGCCCGCCACCAGGCGCCTGGAGTGCGGGAGGCTCTGGGGCTTCCGGAAGCCAGGCCCTCGGCTCGGGAGCAGAGGGACACGGGGACAGAAGGGACGCAGGCCCCGCAGGTCCTGGAGGGCGTGGCCTGAGGGGCCTGGCCAAGCAGGAGGGCGCGTCCACCTTAAATCGCACGAGGCGCTGAGAGCCAGCACTTCGCGGTCGGGGGGCCTGCTGTGCAGGGGCCTGGGTGCCACTGGGCGGCGAGGACAGCGGAGGGGAAGGGCCTGGGGGCCGGCGCTGCCCTGGGGGTCGGCGCCGGGCAGGGAGAACCAGCCCGGAAGGAAGCACTTACCAGGAAAATCTCAATGGTCCCCAAAATGTACATGGCCCCCGCGAAGGTTGTGCCCAAGTAGAAGCAGAGGCCCACAGCGCCCCCGAACTCCGGCCCCAGTGACCGCGATATCATGTAGTAGGAGCCGCCAGCTGCAGAGCCCAACAGGAAACAGCGGGTCAGGGACGGCCAGGCACTGTGAACACACACGTCACAGACCACATGGCCGGCTCTGAGGCCGAGGCTGAAGAGTCACAGCGAAGGACAGCCACAGGCAGGGCACAGGGCCCGAGAGCCGTGCCCACGTCTGAGCAGCCCCGGGTGTCAGACCGGCACCTCCAGCCGCCTGACTCTGTCTCTGAGGCCTGGGACTGGGAGCCGCATAAGTGTCACTTCCGCTGGCCCTGGGTGTCCCCGAGGACACCCAGGCCCCGCGTGCCTGTCCCTGGCCACTCGATCAGTCAGGGGTTCGTGCTCGGACACTGACCAGGAGCCATGGCGTGGCTCTGGAATGCCTGGGGGGTGTCCCGAGTGTGTCCCCCATTCTGAAAAGCAAACCTAAGAGCCACTCTGCCACTAGAGCCACCCCCCAAGTGAGCGCACCCCTTCAGGGGCTTAGTCCAGGCCCTGCCTCCCGGCTGGGCGGAGAACAGAGCGGTGGCCAGGCCCCGGCGGGTGACCCACAGCGGCCGCTGCCCTGTGGCTGCACAGAAGGCCGGGGGCGGGGCAGCACGTCGAGGACGTGGGTGCAGAGCGAGCCGGCCTCACGCACGTGCCCATGGGCCGACCGCGGCAGGCGTGGTGTGACCTTTGGCATCTCGCGTCCGGGCGGCAAACAAGTGCGAGGCGCCTCCACTCACGAGAGCCGGCACAGCCGTCCCCGACCCCAGCGCCGAGGCTCGGGCCCTGCCACGGGGAGGGAGCAGCCAGCCAGGGCTCCGGGGCTCAGACGGCAGAGCAAGTCCCGGCCCTAGGGAGCCGCTCCTGCCCCGGTCAGCGGCCCCGGAGGTGAGGGACGCAGCCTGCACGCGTCGCCGTCGGCTAAGGGAACATTGGTCGCAGGACACTGAACTTCGGAACCAGAGGGACGCCTCGGTCACGGCGTGTCAGCTGTCCAGACATGCTAAGGCCGAGGAAGGGCCGTGGGCGCGGACGTGAGCTCCTGCTCCAGGAGCCTCCCGCTCACAGGCGGCCTCTGAGCGCTGGGGCAGGTGCTGGGGGACGGCCCCATCAAAAGCCCGCCCTGCTCAGGCAAGCCCTACGGTGCCCTTGGGGGACACCAGGGACGCCAGGGACACTGGCCCGTGAGCCCACGTGACGTCGCTGCCCAGAGGTGGGCTCACTGTCGCCACATCTTCCACAAGGGCCTGGCTAGGCTGAGGACGGCCCCCTCCTGCCCACCTGACCCCTCTTGACACAGAAGCTTCTGGGCTCGGACGCCAGTGACAAGCTGCAACCTCCGGGCAGGGAAGGGCATGCCCGCAGTGGGCCCTTCGGGACAGGGCTGCACCCCCCTGCCTCGCCTGGGACCCCGCGGCCAGTCGCTCACCTGGGACCACACCGTTGGTGGCTATCGCGCTCATGGAGATGGCTGTCAGCATCGTCTGCAAGAACACGGGGGACCCTGGAGAGGAGCCCGCGAGGGCCACGCACAGCGAGGGACACGCCTGCCCCCAGCTCCTGGCTGCAAAGGGGCACCTGGGCATGGAGCATTCGGGACTGCAGCCCCCACCTCACTTCCTCTCCCACTGAACCCCCAAAGCTGAGCTCCTACCGGCGGCCCAGAAAAGACCCAACTCAACCCTACCGCACACACTGCCTGGGTGTGTGCTCTGTGGGGTGTGAGGGGGACCCGGCCTGGGTGCCCACCCCGTGGGGCATGAGGGGGACCCCGCCTGGGTGCCCACCCCGTGGCAGACTACAGAGCCGTCCAGGGGGCCCTGCCCCAGCTCTCACCACCTGCTCAGGAAGCGGCCACACCCATGGGCTGGGGAGTAATTTCCTTACAACCTAAAGACCAGGAGGAACGGCCCAGAAAGCCGAGTCCCCAGGGTCCAGGCAGCAAACCCGACGAGGCCCACACGGACCATTTTTTATCCAGAGCATGTGTGCACGCCTGTGTGTGTGCATGTGTGTGCACATTTGTGTGTGTGCACGCCTGTGTGTGTGCATGCCTGTGTGTGTACATGCCCGTGTGTGTGCATGTGCGTGCACATTCCTGTGTGTGCATGCCTGTGTGTGTGCATGTGCGTGCACATTCCTTTATCCAGAGCATGTGTGCACGCCTGTGTGTGTGCACGCCTGTGTGTGTGCATGTGCGTGCACATTCGTGTGTGTGTGCATGCATGTCTGTGCGTGTGCACGCCTTTGTGTACGTGCGAGCACGTCCATGTGCTTGTGTGTGAGCATGTGCATGTGTGCGTGCACGTTTGTGTGCATATGTATGCGCGTGCGCGTACATGTGTACTGGCTGCTCCAGACACTTCCCGACCCTTAGTTGGAAACACGTCATGGCAGGGAGAGCGGGGTGAGACCACGAGGTGACCGCACTGACCGCAGCGCCCGGAGGCCGAGGACCGGGGCGCTGCAAAGCCCGCGGCGGCAAGGGGAGTGATGAGCAGGGCCCCGGGGACTCTGCTCCCGGCACGGCTTAAAATCTTTCTGACAGACGCCTCCAGGTGACACACGGTGACGAGAGTTTAACCGCCCTCTTCACAAGGAGAATAAGGACAGTAAGAACAGGCGTGGCCGGGAGGGGACACTGGGCAGCCTCTGGAGGCTAAACCAGATGCAGCAAATGTGGCGAGAAGGGACCCTATGTCGCCAACAGACGGGGCCGCAGGCTGCGTGTCTCTGGTACGTGTCTCTCCTATAACCAGGGTCCCTGAAATGCCCAGAGGGTTCCACGGGAAGGGCACAGGCCTCAGTGACAGTGCCCCACACCAGTCCCTGGCCACCCAGGTGCCCTCCTCTTCTGCACAGGTGGCTAAGACTCCCAGGGCCAAACGACAGCCCGACCGACCGCAGCCGCCGGCCTCCCCAGGGCAGAACGCATGGGCAGCCTCGGTCCCCGGAGAGCCCGCGGCCGTCCACGTGGTGGGCCCCTGACGTCCAGTTGCCCCCAAAAGCAAAGGCGCCAAGCCCGGGGACTGGCCGAGGCCACTCACACAGGTACAGCACATGGACACGATGAGGAGGGACTCCAGGACCCCGGCCGCCCCCACGATCCACGTCAGCCGCAGGAAGAGGATCACACCGAGGATGTTCTGCAGGCAGGGCAGGTAGACGCCGATGAGGGTGCCCATGCCCGGGCCCTGTGGGGACAGCGGCGTTTCAGGGGGAGCTGCCTGCCCCGCACGCCCCGGGAAGGGGTCGAGGGCACAGGAGGACAAAGAAATGGACCAGCGAGGGTGGGAAGCTTCAGCTGCCTGGGCCCGGAGAGAACTGGGCTCCAGGAGTGTCCAGAGCACAACCTGCCACCCCAGGCCAGGGCGGCCTCCAGGGGGGACAGGGGGATGGGAGGCCCCGAGGGGGAGGGGTCTGGGGGTCATGGAAGAGGCGGAGTAGGGGGATGGGAGGCACCAAGGTCCCAGGGGAGGGGTCTGGGGTCCTGGCAGAGAGGTCCCGGGAAGGGGATTTCGTAGGAGGGGTCCGAAGGTCCCAACGGTCCCAGGGGAGGGGCCTGGGGGTCCCGAGGTCCTGGGGGAGGGGTCCTGGGGGTCCCGGCAGAGAGGTCCCAGGGAGGGATCCTGGGGGTACCTTGGCCTCACGTCTCTGGCTGTCCTCGGCCTGCTCATGCTCCACCACGCCCTGGCTCAGGTTGGTGTAGTTGGCCAGCTTGTTGAGGAGCGAGGACACCATGGGGTTGCTGTCCATCTCCTCCTGTTTGGGACCAAAGGCGGAATCAGCCACCTCACCCTGAACCGAGATGCCCCGAACTGCCCGGGCCCCGCAGAGCTCCCGGAGCCCACTCCGGGGCCGCCTGGGACCCACAGGTCTGAGCTGGGAGGCCGGGCCCAGTCCCCGCAGGGCTGCAGTCAGGGCCCCGGGGCTGGAGCCCGGGCTCGGGCCGTGCTGCCCAGGGCCACCAACCCAGCGAGGGCGCCCAACTCCCGCCCCTCACGGTGTCCAGTGGGCAGCCGGCTCCCCAGCACAGCCTCAGACGGCGGTCTCGGCGCCGTGGCCCCCGCATGTGCCCAGCTGCCCGGCGCCCACCGCCTGCAGGGCCGAGCCCGCGTCACCTCGAACAGCGCCATGTTCTTCCCCTGGAACAGGCTCGCTCTCTCTGTCTCGCCTCCGTTAACGGCCGCGCTGCTTCCCCTCCAGTGTCCATCTCCTGCGGGAGAAATCTGGTCAGTGTCAGCGGCTGAAGGGGCTAGAGGCAGCTGGGAACCAGGGGGATGGACGGCGGCCCTGGGGGTGGGGGGCCGGTGCCAGACGAGGACCCAGGGCTGAGCCAGGGCCCCGGGGAGAGGGGGAGCCGCG